GGGGGAGAGGGAGTAGGAAGCAAAAGGGAGATGGGAGAGGCGAGGGGATTCGAGGGATGCGAGGCGTAAGCGAGAGCGAACGGACTAGAGGCGATGAATTGAGAAGCACTTAGCGCTATTGCACTGTGGCGAGTAAGAAAATGCACAGCACACCAGCCAGGGCTGGTCTGGCTGGCTATCCTACTGCTACGCTACGTACTTTCGTACCCGACAGGGGGAATTCACGGCGCAAAGGAGAAGTTGAAGGGGGGGGGGCACCCACACACACAGACAGACAACAAGCTTCAATTACTCGACTCCTGACCTTCACTCCGTTTGGAGTATGCAGAATATTACTGGTCTATCGCATTATTATTTTGTACGCAGCAAAAGAGTGCCAAAGATTTAAATTCAATGCAAGGAATGGCGAGTGCTGGCGTACCTTTTTGGAGGAACTCGAGTCGTGTTCTGGCTGATAAGTGGCGGTCTTGGTCCGCTATCCTATCCTCGGGGCCGAGCAGGGCCGTATCTCTGGAGCGCGGCCGCGAGGTCGGAGGGGCCCCGCCGGGGCCGAGGCGGTGGCGGCGGCATGGCGCGGTGGCACCGGCACGTGCGCGACGAACACCAGGACGACGAGGTGCTTGGTGTCCGGGACGACGACGATGACCCGGGGGTTGGCCGCGATAACCGTTTGAACCGGTCACACTGAAAATGCCCAGGCTGCCCTTAGGTCTCGCCGCCACTGCCCACGCTCACTAATTTCATGTCCTTCGCCAAGAGTTATTCAGTATCACTGAGTGCACGGCAAAACTACGCGAGAAAGACGCACATCTTCAGCTGCCGGCCGAGGTGCAGCAGCGCGGCGCGCATCTGTCCGGGCGGCGGCAGGAGGGGCAGCAGCAGCTGCTGCTCGGCGCTCTGCTCGCGACGACGGCCAACCACCGACTGAACTCGACTCAATGGATTGGGTTGGGGTGCCCGGCTCCCCGCGGCTTCCAGCCCGCCGTGGCTCGGCTGCGCAGCGCGACCCGCCTTGAGGAGGAGGACAACACCACGTCGGCGACGAGGAG